ATTTTTTGGGACAGGCATTTTGGGTTTTCATGAGCTGTATGCCATAATCATCAGTATTAAAACAATTAAAGACCTGAAATATTTCAGTTGGTGTGCAATGAATCTGAAATATATGAAAGTTTCATTTTTATCATTACATTATGGAAAATAATGACCTTTATCACAATATGCTAATTTTTTGAGAAGGACCTGTATAACTGAATGGTTCACATTATTGTCTACTTTTGGTATTTTAGCTGCAAGGCTTGATCCAATGTTCACAAAATGATGATTAAATCCATTTACAATTTCATTTTCATCATGGATTTCATCGTCATCCTTCAGAAAATATTGTGAAATACCTGTTTTTGCTTTATGACTTTTCAGAACACTATTTATTACTCGCCATGTAGCTTTCATATCACCATTACTTTTATTTAAGAAATCACTATAATATTCCTTCTTGTGTTTCCTTATAATCGCTACTAATTTATTTTTATACTTCTTATATTTCTCTTCAGCCTCTTGTGTTCTGAATTTCAAGAAACATGTATACAAATAATTATTTTTTACAAGCATTTCTCAACCCTTTCGTCATCCATGGTTGGTCAACAACATTTCTCTTTGTACAATTATTTTGCACACAATTCTTTTCATACAGAGCTCCTAAAATATTCATAAACTCATCATATGATCTGTTCACATCATCAACATACACGTCTTTCCAGCTTTGTTTATGTAAATCATCTTTTAATTTGTCCAATGCTTTTTTTGATGTGTTTATTGTTTTTTTTTCTCAATTGTAATTTCTTTTGTAATGCTTTGATCTTTTTTATAAATCATGAAAACTGGTAAGTGATCACTCAAATCACTCGTTAAAATACCTCCCATCACATCCCCATTTGTTATATTGATGTCATTAAACTGTTCTTCATTGTAATATTCACAGTCTTTTATTGCAGGGAAAAAACTTGTATCAATCGCATCTTCAACATTGTATATTTTAAACTCTAAGTCTTCGTATGTTGCCATGTTTTAATGTATTTGTTCATTTTTATATTTTGTTTGTGAAGTTATGTCAATGATTTATCATCTGTCATCTCCTGAGCTCATTTTAGTTTTTCCAGATCCTTCGGGTCTTTTATTATTTTAGCCTGAGATCTTTAGTTTGATCCAAATGTTTCCATTTCTTGTCCAAGTTGATGCTATTTTTTTCTGTTTTTTCAACCATCTTGCTTCACGTGCAATATTTCCATTTTTTTTAGTTAGATGTTCGTTTATGTAAACATTTGTTCCCTTCAGTTTTTTTTGCTTGCATTATTAAATTGTTTCTTGATTTCCTGCTAATGAACTTGATGACTATGGATGGTTTGGCTTTATCTGATTTGTTGGGCAGGGTGTGACAGATTGAAATGTCCTCATGTTCGATGTCATTGTCTTTGTTTTGTAAAAAATTCACTACTTGCTCCTCCAGAGTCTGTAGTTCTTCCTGTGGTGCGTCTTCTGTAATGTTAGTACCAGCAACAACTCTTGCATAAGTCCAGTTCCTAACTTCCAGTCCAGTGATCACCAAGTTGTCTATTTTTGTGTATTGTTCCATGTCGTCTACTTTCTGTTCCAGTTCTAATATTTTCCTGTCTTTATTAATCAATTGTTTCACTTCTTCAAACAGTCCGGTCAGGAGTTCACACTTAGATGATAATCTTGTCACATCAGCACTCAATTTAGTCAGTTCAGCACTCATAAAGTTCAAAGAGTTTTTAACTTCCTCCATATCTTCTGAATTATTTTCCGACTCTTGATTCCTGGTTTTGTTTTTGCTCGGCATTACGATACTTCTGGATCGTTGGTATCATCTCTCAGAAGCACAGGATCCAGCCACGAGGTTCACAGAAATAAGTTATTGAGGCTGAAAGTAGCAGAAATTACAAAGAAAAATTGAATTTATCTGAAAACCGCTTAAATTAGCTAAACATTTCTAAAACCTATTGAAAAGGTAGAACAAGGTTAAAATAGAAAAAAGCAGAAAGAAGACTCGTTTACCCAATTATGCTGAAAGAAGCAGTAATGAGAACAAAAAACAGAAATTATCTGGAAGGGAAAAAAAAGCTGAAACTGGCTATTAAAAAAAAGCTGAAAAGTAGCTAAAAAACAGAAAGAAGCTGAAATCACAAGAAAAAAGCAGAGAGAGCACATTTTGCTGAATTAGGCTGAAAAATGTTTAAATCAGGAATTAGCTGAAAACACTTAAATTAGCATAAAACAGCTATATAGTCACGGAAATAGTAGAAAAATCTGAAACTTGCAGAAATAAGCTGAAAGGAGCAGAACAAGCTGAAATTAGCAAGAAGTTAGAAGTAGCTCAAAAATGTTGTGGTTAGCAGAAAGAATATGGAAGGAGCACAAAACGGCTGAAAAAACAGCTGAAATGAGCTGAAAAATGTTTAAATTTCCACAAGGAAGCTGAAGCAGAACAAAATGTGAAAGGAGCAATAAAAGGTTGTAAATAGATCTAAAGATTTGAAGGATGTAAAATGAGCTCAATTAATTTTATGTGAGAAAAGAAGTGGCAGGAAAGGCGAAATATTTCAAAAAGCTAAAGTTTTTTTTTTTTTTTAACCTTTATTTCACCAGGAAAATCCCTTTGAGATTAAAAATCTCTCTTGCAAGAGAATCCTGGCCAAGACTGGCAGCAGCACATCGAGGCTACAGAAAAAGCTAAAGTTGCACCAATTCCAAAAGCAGGATTGTCCTGAAAGAGCTGAACGTTTTGATTATTTGTTGAAATAGCTTGAAAACTGCGGGACGAGAAAGATGCTGAAAAACGTACAGAAGAAAAATGGATCACGACAGTCTGCGTGCTTCATAAACATTCCCACGATAAAAAGAATGTTCAGTTTTCTGAACTTTACAGATAAAGTCACGCCACAGCTGGAAAATGACTAAACCTCGTCCAGTTTAATAAATATAACGCACAAACACTTTTGAGGCTCAAACAACAAACGGTTTCATGCTTTTTTTAACCGAACAAATCAAAGTTGAGTCTTTCTCTGAAACCTGAACCTTGTGTTTGAAGACTCGTCGTTGGGCTGGATGGAGCCTCCTGACGGATGATTTTAATCTCTGCTCAAACGGCAGCCAGGGCTGGATGTTGAACTTTGAACACAGTTTGGTTAAAGTTACAGGTTGTGCGCGTTCGGTGAATGTGCTCGGTTTCATCCTTGGCTTTTTTTAGACTTTGAAAATCTTCACACATCGTCCACGTGAGTCACGTTTTGCTCGTGTAAAGATCTTGATGCACTGCTGTCTCTGTACATTTTATTATTTATTAAACAGGTTTTAAGAAAGAACAAACAATTCTGTCAATCAGTCACTGTGTAATATTTGTGTTGCACTCGTACTTCTACTTGAGTTTGAGTTCATTCTGCTCTGCTGATTTTTATTTTTTTGTCGTTTGAATTTTGAAAATTTTCCTTCTGGACATTTTATTTTCTTGACCATTTTGAACATTCAGCTCTTTTATACTGAAGAGGATCAGGGCAAAGGTGACATTTTTTTTCCCGTTAATTCTGAGGGGGAAAAATCAGAATTCTGACTTTAATCTCAGAATTCTGACTTTAATCTCAGAAATAAGGGAAAAAAAATTTCACACCCTGGCGCTAATCCTCTTCTATAATTTTGAGACACCTTTATTTCCTTTAAAATTATTATTTAAAAAAAAAATATGCTTCAACATACGAATTCTGTTTCACTTTTTATTCTGATTTTACTTTTAGCTAGCCTTAGCTTCATTTAGATTTTAGCTACTAATCTCCTGAGCGTTTTGCTTAATTTTGCTATTGTTAGTCTTTTTTGCTAAAGTTCAGTTTCTTTTAGTCTTTAGCTAACATTTAGTTGCTTTAAATTTTTCTTCGTTTGTAGCTTTTAGCTCATATTCTGCTTACGATAGCTAGCCTTTTGCTTTTATTAGCTAGCATTTGGCTTCTTTTAGCTAATGCTTAGCTTTTTTTTAAAGTTTGTGTCCTCCTGTTGGCAAGCGTTTGGCTTTTTTGGCTACTGTTCATATTCCTTTAGCTGATGTTTTGCTTCTTTCAGCTCAGTTTCAGCTGATTTCTGCAGTTCGGCTCTCAGGACGCCTCTGGACGTTAAAGTTCACTGAGTTTCTTGAACCCCTCTACAGTTTTCTGCTTGTCTCATTAAACGCTAACAAACGTTCACCTCTGGTGAGGCTTTAAGCTTTTTTTTTAACGTGGTACTGTTGGACTTTAGCTCCACCCATGGACCTGCTGAGCGAGGCGAACTCAGTCCTCACTCCAACCTGCAGCTGGACAGAGCCACAGACCTCAGCTGAAAGATGGTGACCTTCGACGACCTGCTGGAGGAGGCCGGCTCCTTCGGCCGCTGTCAGAAGCGGATCTTCGCCCTGCTCTGTCTGCTGTCGCTGCTCTTTGCAGGCGTGTACGCCGGCATCGTCTTCCAGGGCTTCACCCCGGACCACTGGTGCCGGGACGCCGCAGCTGAGGAGAGGAGGCAGGCCTGCGGCTGGAGCCCGGCAGAAACGGCTCCTCTGCTCAACAGCTCCGGGGTTCTGAAGCACAGCAGCTGTGAGCAGTACGAGCTGGACTGGAACTCAACAGAACCCACCTGCGACCTGCGGGAACTGGACCTGAGCAGCCTGACACTGACAGCATGCAAGGTCAGCTCCACACGTCTGTTCTCATAACCTCCTGCTGCCCTTGGGTCAAAATGATCCACGGCCTCTGCATCGACTCTGGCGCCGTGGGTTATTTTGACCCAAGGGCAGCAGGACGGTTAAAGCGCCTAAATGTTGTTACATTGTGCTCGCCGGCTGCCTTGCACGCCATAACTTTAAATGAAGTTTACAGGCGATCTATTCGTGCTCACAGTATATGTGGAGAATGACTCTCAACTACTACCACACCAAATGTTTGAGTTATAGCCGTTTAGGTGTTTAAGACGGATTAGCTGTGATGGCCCTCTCGAATCTGGTTGACTTCAAAACTTAATGTCATCAAAATCTATTCAGCAGTTCTTCTGATATTTTACTAACAGACAGCCAAACAAACAGGCAGTGAAGGAGATCATAGTGTCTCTGCCATGAGATTATCTGTAGATGAGGTGGGATTACATGATCACCCACTTTTCTCCTCCAGTGTGAAAAAGCGTTTATACGTTATTCACCAGTCGTCATCAACTGGGCCGTTTCCAGCCCAGTTTGAATTCTGTCCCGTAAAATCAAAAATAACTAAAAGTTTCTCGGTGCCAATGAAGAGCTGCCCTAAAAAAACTGAACATAACTTTGTATTCATGTAACATTTTGATGTTACCCTGTAAAGGAAGTGCAGAAAGAACCAAGAATAAAAGAGACATCGAGAAGCTCATTGTGGTCACCATGGTAACCACACACGTGCGTCCCTTGGTCCCAGACTGTAAAGACAATGAGAGGCAGACTGAAAAGTAAGCCTCAAATTGTGAAACCTTTAAGTCGGATCTTAAAGTTGATGGAACCAGAAGAATTTTATGGTCACGCACAAGATATTTTTTATGCTTCTGCAGCGTTTGATGACGTGAGACAAGTTAAAAACATCCTTCACTCCCAGTTTTAAAAAGATGTTTTAAAGGCAAAAATACCCACATTTAATTTGTTTTTATCCCAAAAAGAATAGTGGGAGTGAAATGAGCTTGTTTGAAAAAGGTTTGATGATTTTGGCTCAGACATTACGACATCAACTATAACAATTTGTGGTAAAATTCTTAAAAATCATCGAACCTCAACCGTATTTGTGTAAAAACCGTAAATGTCAAAACGTCAATTCAGACATGTAGCGATATGAACTGCACACGATGGGATACTCAGAGTTCTACCAATTATCTGTTGAGGAACATTACTCTGAAATTGTCCACTTAGACAATTTTTCACCGACTGGTGAACCTCTGCCCATCTTTATTTCTAAGAGATTCCTGTTTCACTAATCTGTTACCAATTAAGCTAATTAATTACAAAATGCTGCTTCAGCTGATTCTTTCTTTTACAGCCTTTTGCTGCCTCTGACCCAACATTTCTGAGATGTGTTGCTGCAATAAAATAAAAAATGTGTTTTTTGTGCATCTAAAAATGAAATTACCGTATTTTTTGGCCTATAAGTCAGTTTGTTGCATAATTTCCATGCCCTGCAACTTATACACCCAAGTGACTTATTTATGGACCCCCCCCCCCCCCCCCCGTATTTCTAAACCAATTTTTAGCTGAGATATGACCGTTTTTATTCATTCTGACTGAAAATATTGAACACTACCATTTTTAGCCACTAGATGGCACTCGAGTAGTATGGCATGCCGTTGTATCATGCAATAGGTAAAAGTGGCTATTAATGACACAATCGGCTTGCCACAGCCTGCCACCTTCATCCAGCTTGTTTGGAGCAAGCGTCAAACCAGCTTCATTTCGCTGCGCTGCCCAGGAGAAATGCAGCTAATTTGACCATTAAAGTGCATTTATTAAGTAAAGGTTCCACTGAGATACACCTTTACTATAATTTCAAGCAAACAAATAATAGTTTTTAAGTGTTAATCTTGGTAAATTTTTGTTAAAGTCTTCCTGTGCGTGCTACCGTGGCCGCCATTTGGCAGCCGATCGATTTTTGGCACGACACCGGCCCACGTTTCCGGGTTGTCGGCGTTGACGCGTAACAAACGCGACGCGATGGCGCACGATGGATGCAGCGTTTGTCCGGGACATCCTTGTAAAAGAGATTGATGATCTCAGTGGATTTCTTCCTGGTAAAATAAAGTTATAAATTAAAAAAAAAAAGATGCAATGTATACGGCGAAGCAACATATTTATGGGTTTCCACTTTGTTGGACATGTTTGTACTGATGCGATTTATCGTTGCGACGTGTACAGTGGAAAATACAGTAAATGGAAAAAACAAAACTATTTGTTTTCCATTCTGTAGCTGAAGACATTTTGCTTCCTGTCCATTTTTTCCATTTAAAACTGTAGTGTGTGGAGATTCAAGCTCCATTAAACAGATTTCACTTGATTTGACCTCTGATTTGACCTCTGTCTGGGGCAATTAAAATCTCCCCAGACAGTATAACTCCTATCATTCAGGCACACAAACTCCTCCACCACGATGAGGTGGTGAAACTACCGTGTGAAATAAAAACAATGGTGTTTTCTCCTTCAGAGGTTTTAATAATGTCAGCCGGCTCAGATTCAGAGGCCTTGAGGTCCACCTGTGGATTAAATCCAGTTTGGTGTTTTTGTCTTCAGGATGGCTGGGAGTATCGGTCTGAAGGCCGGAAGACGTTCGTCACAGAGGTGTGAAGAAAGATTTGAGCCATAAAGTATTCGGTGTTCATCTGATACAAACATTATTAATTCGGCTTCTGGTCTCTGACCTTTGACTTTACATTTTTTATTGCGCTGAAATCTTTTTGTTATTCCAGTTCGATCTGGTGTGTTCAGACGGTTGGTTGGTGGACATGTTCCAGTCCAGCCTGAACGTGGGTTTCCTCATCGGGAGCTTTGCTTTTGGATATTTTGCTGACAGGTGGGGCGAGGATTTATCTCATTAAAAACTATGTTTAAAAAAAAAAACAATAAAAACAAAACTTTCTATTGTGAAGGACAGTTTTCTATAAATAAATGACTTAAATCACGGACTTTACTGATATTAACTTTTTCCATTTCTCTGCAGGTTTGGCAGAATTAAGAGTCTTCTCTTGTCCAACACGATAAATTTCGTCGCAGGAATCGCCATGGCTGTTGTTCCAAACTACATCTCCATCCTGGTGCTCAGGGCCGTGCTGGGCTTCAGCATCAAAGGAGGCTGGATGACCGCATACGTTCTGCGTAAAAACGACCGTCTTTCACCGTTGAAGCACAGCTGACTCATAGATATTCTGTGATAGTTTGGTTTAAACTGTTAAACCGCCTTTTAGTTCTTGGGTTTTACGTTTCAGGACATGAATAAAACGATTTGGTCTTTACCGGGTTCTAAAAGATTTCAAGTCTAATCTCAAGTAAACAAAAAAAAATCACGTTTATATAAACTCAGTTTTGTGCAAATCTCACTTATTTAACTGGTTTCAACATGAAACGGATACTGTATGTGGGAAAACTGTTGATTTAAAAAGAAAAACACTATTTTCTGATTGGTCAGATCCAGACCGCTCTGCTCTGATTGGTCAGATCCAGTGGCCTGATTAGGCACCGCCCACAAATTGCCCTCAGTTCTGACAATTTAAAAAAAATAAATGTTTGATCGTCACTTACGAGGGTTCAGCTCGGCTCTTTGAAGGTCCCGTCACAGCGTTTAACTCCGGATTAAGTTCTGGACTCTGACTGGACCGTTGCAGCACCTTGATTCTGTTTAAGCACTTCCATTATGGATTAGCTGCTGTGTTTGGGCTCATGGTTCTGTTGGACCCAGTTTGGTCCAAGCTTCCTGTTGGACAGATGGACTCACAGCACTCATTGGTCTACAGAGGAGTTCATGGTCCACTCAACGACTGCAAGGAGCCCAAACCATCAGCCCTCCACCTCCGTGCTAACAGCTGGTCTGAGGTGTTCGTGCTGATATGCTGTGCATTCTGGGATTTTTTTTTCCCCCCACAAGTTTTTTAAATTTATTTAGATTAAACGAAAGTCGTGCCTCCTTGTTGTTTTTAGAAAGAAGAGTTTTTCAAACAGGGCGGCACGGCATGGTAGAGCTGCTGCCTCTCAGCGAGAAGGTTGCCGGATCGAATCCCGACCTGGGGCCATTCTGGGTGGAGTTTGCATGTTCTCTCTGTGCATGCGTGGGCTTTCTCCGGGTACTCCGGTTTTTGCCACGGAGCAAAAACATGCATGTTAGGCTGATTGGTAACTCTAAATTGTCCCTAGGTGTGAGTGAGAGAGTGAATGGTTGTTGTCTCGTTTGTCCCTGTGATGGACTGGAGACCTGTCCAGGGTGTCCCCCGCTGCTTACACAGTGATGGCTGGACATGGGCACCAGTGACCCCCACAACAATGGATGGATGGATGGATGGATGGATGGATGAGTCTTTCAACCAAGTCACACTAGCTTTTCTTTTTCAAATTGTCCTGTCATGACCTTTGACCTCTATCCTACTAACTGAGGTCTGTAGAACCTGATATGAAGCTCATTTTCCTGAGCATTGCATGGTCTGACCTGGGGGTGAATTTACTGGGACGTCCATTCAGCTGTTTTAAATGTTTTCCACATTTATGTCTTCCTCTCTGTAGAACGATGAACTACACATACATTTAAAATGACCTTTGACCCCGCCCAGATTGATTGGCAGCAGCAGCTGTTTCTCTGAAGTCCTTGCTCGTGTCTTTCCACTGGAGCTGTTTGCTCCAGAGCAACAACAACTCCTGATTTTGTAAGATTGCCACTCTGATGGTGATCAGATGTTTGACCAGCAGAGTCTGGCTGCTGTTTCCCCTCACGAATCCCGTGGAACATCGAGGGTCCACTTAGCTTTTCACACAATTTTTCTGATTTGGTCATTTGATTAGCAATGAAAAGGTGAAATCTGTTGTGTGTGTTTTGATTGGAATAATTTACAACTTGGTAAAGACCGGATCATCTTTCCTATTACTGTACACATCAGATTTCATGTCTGTGAATGAGTAGAAGTGAGTTTTTGGCTAACGCTGTAAAAAACACTAAGTTACCGTCCAACTTCAGCCACACATTAACCCAACATTAGTCATAAATTTGTCACATAAGTGAGGTATTTTGACGAATTCTTCGAAAATCTTTTGAATATTGTTAGCAGAACCTCTGATACTCTGTTCTGTTTTCTTCAGGTAATCTTTAATTTGCTGCCTCTTGTTTTAGTCACAGAGATAGTTGGAGTGGAATACAGACGAACGGTCGGCATCTTATTTCAGATGATCTTCAGCGTTGGCCTCCTCATCCTCCCTCTGCTGGCCTACTTCATCACCGACTGGCGCTGGCTGCAGGTCGTCTTCACGGCACCGTTTATTATTTTTCTGTCTTACTACAGGTAGCTAACTTCTGCTTTTTAAACCCGGTATTTCACCAAGTGGGAGTTTAAAGAGATCGTTCAGTAGTCAAATGTTTATCACCTCGAGGCCTTAACCGACTGGAATGAGCACAAAAAAGTGGAAAGTATCTGAAAAAAAGCAAAAGTTAGCATAAAAATAGCTAAATAGTAGCTGAAATAATTTAAACTAGCAGAAATAAGCAGAAAAGAAAGTTTAAAATTTGCCGAAACAGTTAAATAGGCTGAAAGTAGCAGAGATTACCAAGAAAAACTTGAATTTATCTGAAAACAGCTAAAAGTAGCTAAAAATGTAGCTGAAAAGAACCAGCTTAAATTAGTAGGAGAAAGCAGAAAGAGCACACGTTTGCCCAATTAGGCTGAAAGAAGCAAAAATTAGCACAAAAAGCAGAAATTATCAGAAAAAAGCTGAAACTGGCACACACACAAAAAAAAACAGCTGAAAGCAGCTAAAAAAACAGAAAGAAGCTGAATTTGCCAGAAAGAAGTGGAGAGAACACATTTGTGCTGAATTAGGCTGAAAAGAGTTTAAATAAGTGCAAAACATGTGGAATTAGATGAAAAGGTAAAATTAGCATAAAACAGCTAAATAGTAGCTGAAACAGCAGAAAAATCGGAACCTTGCAGAAATAAGCTGAAAGGAACATAACAATCGGAAATTAGCAGAAAGAAGTTAGAAGAAGCACTAAAATGTTTTAGTTAGCAGAAAGATCCTGAAAGGAGCACAAAACAGCTGAAAGTAACTGGGAAAAAAAAAAAGTTTAAATTTGAACAAAGAAGCTGAAAGAAGATGCGAAAGGAGCAGTAAAAGGTTGTAAACTGATCTAAAGATTTGAAGGATGTAAAAGGAGCTCAATCCATTTCCTGTGAGAAAAAAAACGCCAGAAAAGGCTAAATATTTCCAAAAGCTAAAGTTGCACCAACACCAAAAGTCCTAGCAGGATTGTCCTGAAAGAGCTGAACGTTTTGATTTATGATTTGAGGAAAAAGTATGGAATAGTTTAAAGACTCTGTAATAATAATAACTATAAACAGGATAACAATAGTGTGAATGCTTAATAAGCATTTAGCCCAGTCGTTCATGAGATATTTTGTTAACATGCACATAAACACACACAGGCACGGGCGAAGACATTATTCTCTGCCGTCACCCTTTATTGGCGGGTGATATTAAAGCATCACTACATGTTTTTCTTTTTCATTTACCCTTTATTTATACAGGTAGTCTCAATGAGCCACGAGAACTCATTTTCAAGAGAGACCTGTTTGGGGAGCAGATGGGGGTTGAGGGCCTTGCTCAGGGGCCCAGGGTGGGGGCAGGTGTGGGTGTTTCACCTGCCCCACCCACATATTTGATGGTGTCAGTACCGGGGCTTGAACCAGCGATCTTCCGATCACAGGCCCACCTTTTTAAGCCTCTGCGCCACTACTCCCCAAAGCACTTTGACATGATAATTAAATTAAATATTTGAGAGCATCCTTACTGTTAAAGTTAACCGAGTTCTGTCTCTAGATGTTTTTGTTCAGGTCTTTTGTGGTTTTGTCTCAGGTTCATCCCAGAATCTCCAAGATGGCTCATCTCTCAGAACAGTTCCCCAAGAGCTCTGAAAATCACCGAAGCAATAGCCCAGGAGAACAGGAAGACACTGAGCACAAAGTTAGAGGTAAATTAATTTGTTTATTAAAAACAGAACTCTGTGTCCTTGAAAGAGTGATTTACCGGTAGTTTGAAGTTTTAATAATGTCTATTTTTAGCTTTAGGACATCAAGAAACTGTCTCAAATAATCCTTTAAGTCCCAAATTATCAGCTTTTTAGCAAACAACAAAGTGGAACTTGGTCTTTAGAGCTTCTAGTCTAAACCAAACAACAGTCCCCAAAGTCCAAACATCCATTTTCTTCAAATTATCCATGGTCAGGTGATGGAGGTGACAGGTCCAGGAGGGAAACCCTGACATCACGATCCTCGGAGACATTCTCCTGAAGATCTCAAGGTGTTCCCAGTTTCATAGGACATTCATGGCAGTATAATCCCTGCAGTGAGTTCTGGTTCTGCTCTCAGTGGGATCTACCTATAGAACCTCCACAAGGAGACATCTGAACCACCTCGGCTAACCCTCTTTTGATGTGAAGTAGAGTTTCTTCTCTTTGTTTTTTTGTTTTTGCCATGTAGAAAAGAAAAACTATGTTTAAGTAATATTTATAAATACTGGTATTCACTGTAGTTTTATATGGTTTAACGATCCTCTGAGTGAGAGTTCCTACATTTACTTTTCACCACTGGCTCTCGTGCAAGATGGACGCCTTTCTTCCCTCTCCCGTCCTCCTCCTGCGTTTTCGCTCTGTCTTGTGTATCGGAGCTCCTATTTTCACAACTTCCAAAACGTAAACTACCGTCATGGATCTGGTCAGCTGGACTTTCAACAAAATTGATTTAAAAAAATTCAACAAAGCGACAGGGTCCTGGAGAACCCTCATGCCCTGCTGAGACACACGCTGCAGGATACATCATGGATCTGATGTGTCTTTCCATATTGTCTTAGGAGGACGCCGAAGATACTGGAATCATGATAGCAGGGTTTCTGCTTCTTGGCACCGGCGGATACCGTTATCTGGTATTAAAGAAGACAGCGGCAGCAGTTTTGGCCATGGCAATGCTGTAGACCATGTCTGCAGGTTCGGTTCGTGCTTCGAGCGCTCATGTTGGGGACGACCTTGGAAAGAGCCAATAGGCACGGACCTGTGGAATGCCCACAAATCTGGTCATTTTGGATTAAAAGTGCCATCAGAACTCAAGGCTGATGAGAAATAACAGTCTGCCTGAAACAAATCAACAATTGTGGCTTATCTGAATCTGACTCCCCCGTTTAGCCTCGAAGCAGACCAACATCAAATTTCTCATTGGACGTGTGTAAACTGAGAGAACTTCAGTGAAGGCTTATCAGAAACTGTACCGACTGACACCAACATCTTAACAGGACTATGGGCTATCTGGAAGTGCTTCATGGACAAATCTTGACGTTAAATGCATATGCAATGTGTCTATAAATGTGTTTGCTGGTAGAGTTTTTTTTATGTCTTAAATCATGTCCTGATAAGGACAAGGTGTGAAGAGATCTTTTTTGTAATACCAATCCTCTCCTCATGGCTTTTTCCTCTTTTTCTATCTAAAAAGAATAAGAGGCCGTGCTCTTAGGAGCAGCAGCAACGAGCACTCCGCCCATCTTTCAGACGACTGTACGAACATAATCTCACTGTATTTCGGTACAATGATAATAAAGCTTATTCTGATTCTGATTACATTTGCCAACTGTGCTTCTTTTAGAGACTAACTCAAGATGAAGTTGAATCCACCTCTGCTTCGTTGCTGGACTTGATCAGAACTCCAAAAATGAGGAAGCACACCTTCATCCTCATGTTTAACTGGTGAGACTCCTCTAAAATAGCAAACCGAGGCAGCCCACTCCTGCAAGAGACGGTACATCTTTCTTTTTTAAACTCCTCAGGTTCACCAGTGCCGTGGTTTATCAGGGTCTCATCATGCGAGTGGGGATAACAGAAGGAAATATCTACACCGACTTCCTCATCTCCAGCCTGGTGGAGTTACCTGCCGCCTTTCTAATACTTCTCACCATTGAGCGGATTGGCCGGCGGCTTCCATTCGCCAGCGCCAACATCATAGCAGGAGTTTCCTGCCTCGTCACTGCTTTCATTCCTGACAGTGAGTCTCAGTTGATGTTGAGCCTTGGAGAGAAGATGAAAACTTGACCGATGCTGAATTCCTCTCTGTTGCCCAGGCATGTCCTGGTTAAAGACAACGGTGGCCTGCATTGGTCGGCTGGGGATCACCATGACCTTTGAGATGGTGGTGTTTGTTAACACTGAGCTCTACCCGACATACATCAGGTGCAAACCACGATGAGATATATCAACTCTTTTATGCTAATAACCAAGTTATTGGTAATGATTTCACAGCTAAGCAGAGGTTAATTAAATTAAATTATGTTTCGGCTGATTACAGGAACCTGGGCGTGTCCGTTTGTTCCACTCTTTGTGACATTGGAGGAATCGTCTCTCCCTTCCTGCTCTACAGACTCGCCGTCATCTGGCTCGAACTGCCACTCATCATCTTTGGTAGGTTTCTGCTTTTACTGTCACTCGGCCATCCAGTTGACAAATGGTTTCCTTCAAAGTTTAACCTTAAAACCAGGCTATAAAAATTATAGAATGATTATCAAACAGCCATACCATGAGTGGGCCTTTATTAAACACTGCATCTCTTGTACTTTCTCAATGCAGGGGTTGTGGCTCTCATAGCCGGAGGTTTGGTGCTGCTGCTGCCTGAAACCAGAGGAGTTTCACTCCCCGACACCATCGATGATATCGAGTTCCCCGATCGGTGAGACGGTTCCCAACGCTTTGTTCAGTGTTGTTTTATAAAGGGAGATGGCATTTTACAAGTCAAGTAACAGGAAGTGAAGTGGCCTGTCTATGTTGAGGAGCAGATTGTTCCAAAGTTTAGGGCCCATGATTGGAAAAAGCCAGATCTCCTCCGAGCTTCAACCTGGTTTTAGGTACAACCAAAAGCAGCTGAGCCTATGATCCCAGCGTCCGAGAAGGTTCAAGTAGGTCAGAGAGATAAGAGGGTTAAAGGTCAACAGGAGAATTTTAAAATTTATCCTGATGTGTACAGAGAGCCAGTGAAGGGAGGACAAAACTGGTGAAATATGATCAAACCTACGAGTTCCTGTTAAGAGCCAAGATGCAGCATTTTGGACAAACTGGAGATGTGAAAGGGAGACCTGACCGACCCCAACATAAAGCGCGTTACAGTAGTCCAGCCGGATTGTAATGAAGGCATGGACTATCGTTTCAAGGTCAGATCTGATCAGTAGCAGCTTAGCTATCTGCCTTAAATGCAAGTTAGTGTGTGATACAGGAGTCCCTCGCTATTTCGCAGTTCATTTATCGTGGACTCTCTCTATTGAGGTCGTTCAAAATAAGAATGGACATGACGCACAATTGGCTGATTGATGGATGAGCTGCACAATCGGCATGAAATTTTTATTTAAAATAAATTATTTTGAATTATTTTTGCACCTGCTACACCTTTGTGAAGCCTAGAGTTGCAGAAAAAGCTTCCTCCTGCAGCTTTGTGCAACCCATACTGCTGCAGGATAAACTTCCTGCTGCAGAGCGGAGAAGTGGGCGTGGCCAAGAGCGCTTGCAGGTGGCAAAGAGCAGAGGAGGCAGGAAGCTGAAATCATGACTTTCTGTGCTTTTTTAGAGCGTTTAGAAACATTAGAATATTGCAAGAGTGTGTGAAGGGTTTAAAACGCCTTTATATATATATATTTAAATAATAAAATAAACTACTACTTACTACTTGCACTACTATTCCTGCTTTGCTGTTTTTTACTTATTGCGGGTTTCAGGGTACGGGTCCCACGTGATAAACGAGGGACTGCTGTATACATTTTTGCAGTTGTGTCACTATAATTAGGACAAACATTAAACTTAAAAAGTCAGTGAGTGTTTTACACATATTACATTTAGTGTGTTTGTGTTGTAGATGAGATTAGATTTCAAGTTACTATGGTTGTATTTAAATGTACAAAAACAATGAATTTATGACATAATATGCAGCTGTTCCTACTTTATTTGCTATAAAATATTCTTCTTTTTTTCAGGAAAAAGAGTCAAGAGGAATATCAAAGCACAAAGAAACCTTTAAATACACAAGAAACTGTATAATATTTTTATTTAAATTATTTTTTAAAGGAGGAATTTTTATATATTTCCCATCAAGTAAGAATCCTCAATTTATTCTTAAATTAAGTATTTTTTAATCCCTCGCTAAATAAAATACAAACAAAATGGCTTTATTCTAAAAATACAAAGTCATCTGTCACTTCTGCAGGATGTCTCTGTTTAAACCTGATCTTTTATTTGACTTTCGTTGTTTTATGTGTCAAGTCATCAAACTTGGAAACTTGAGTCTAGGTTTCATGATGTTTGCACATCCCAAACCCATAAAGCCACATCATACTGGAGGTACTGAGGATGGACCGAAGGACCAGAGGACCTCCACATCACCTCGCAGGAAGAAAAAATAAAACACTCACACCTTGATAGTGTTCGTTCCCAATTTAGGATCTTTTCCTGTTTACTTTTCAAACACAAACTGTTGTTGGTTAGCTGTTTTTACAGGATTTTTTAAAGCTAAAAATAAAGAAAATCTTTTTAGGGAACTTTACAAGGAACATTATTCATCAAACCATCCATAAATATACTGCATGTATTTGAATATATGTGTATGCTTATCTAAGACCCATCACGTCAAATCAGAAATTAAGTCACAATTGGTCAAACACATTTTTAGATTCCTGACTTAAGTTATGCTTTGATACCTAGATCACCAAGATATCGAGTGGTTCCAGGGATATGGCTTGATTTGTCTTGCAAATTTCTAATTAGAAAATAAATTTGAATCCTATTTTCATCATTCTATTACGGATTACTTGATGTCATTTAAAAGTGGACACCTCAAACAAGATATTAATATCAGGATTTTTCAGTATAAAAGAGTTTATTTAACGTGCAGGACAAGTAATAGAAACAGTAAGGCTTTGTTGCTCAAAATCCTGTTATTTGTTGATGTTGCTTAGAAAAGTGCTTCAAATATTACTTTGGGATTATATTTCAAACATTTTCTTCAAGGACCCAGTCCTTACTTGCTAGGTATCATGCACGTGACTACACACTGGTGGTTATGAGCTCCCAATGGTGACAATATTGTGTCCACTTGATAACATCGGTGTTAGATTTTGTTTTAAATTTGCTCAGTGTCAAACTGTTCTGAGCATTTGTGATGTGTATCGGTGCCATTTGCTGCCTTGCAAATAAACCTTTGTCATGTCTTATAATCAGATTTTTGTTTATTGATCAACGGGTTTTCAAACATCAAAATGACAAAAATTGTGAAATAACAGTAATGCTGTCAAATGACAAGTCCAAAATGAAAATATGACGTACAAAATGAACCCAAATGATACACATTAAAACATCACATCTAGAATGGAGCCAAATTACTCAAACTGTAACATGACACGAGACACTTACAATATGTCCAAAATACCTTTAAAAAAACAGCATACGATAGATAGCATGAAGTCTAAAATGACCTAAAAAAAAGCATACTCTAGCATGATGTTCAAAAGGATCTTAAAAAAACACATTGCATGAAGTCTAA